GGATTTGAGGTAGTGTGAGTGTGGCTTGTTTAAAGGCAAGCATACACCACCTGTAGGTCTTCAGCTGACTTTGTTCCCATTCATTTAATAAGGGAACAGTAACACAAGATATCTTTGAGTTGTAAATTTGATGGTTTTAATGTTGTGCCATTCACTTACAAAGTATAATTTACTTGCGCAAAGAGTCATCGTCTTTCCTATCCCTTATTTGTATATGTCAAACACAGCATAGATTATATTGTTTCCATTTGTCTTTTGATTTTGTTTGATGTTTTATTGTCTTTCTCAAAAACAACTCATGTATTATCGTGCGTACAGGCACATGTGTACACTTGCATAAATAAAAGATTCAGTTCAACAAATCAAAGACTAAATATGAGCAGATACTTAATTCTGACCCAGTTTAAAAGACATCACATGAAAGATTCATCCCAATGGTGGTGACTCAACTGGCTGAGTTACGCATGTCTGCTTTGGGTCATGGTCACAGGGCACATGAACAGCTCAGGTAGGCAAGATTGCAAGTTCTTTACAACAGAAATCATGTAGGTCTATCCTTGAGTTCATTAGGTATTGCTAAGCAGTCTTTGGCATGTCATTACCACATAAACTGTAATCAGTTTGCCATCCTATCCTTTGGTTGGATATTAGGAGAAGTCTCTGCTGAAAGGGTTGTGTGACATAGGAACAGGCTGCCCAGGGAAATAGTTCAGTCCCCATCCGTGGTCGTCTTCAATAAACATGTAGATGTAGAACTTAGTAGCATGGCTTAGCGGTGGACTTGTCAGTACTATGGTAAAGGTTGGACTAAATAATCCTAGAGGTCTTTTCCAACCTTAACGTTTCTAACTGATGTTAAGGGGTGCATTGGCACTGTGTTTTCACAAATGGGAAACTGAGGCACATGAAAACAACTTGTACTCAGACTTAAACAGGTTGTGGGTGGCCTGATTGCTGCTCAGTGGAAGTTAGGTGCCTGAATAATGCGGGTGTAGGTTCTGCATCCAAGTTCTGCAATTGAAATGTGGACCTTCTTGGTCCATGTGTTAACTTTTGCTCCAGAAGTGTCTTATTTTATAATACTCAGTAAGATATCTTGGTGTGAAAGCAACATACCAGCACTAATTTTCATTTAGAAGAAAGTAACAGTGTTAACAAACCACATCCATCTAAGAATCTACCTGTAAAGAAGGGCTCTCTTTTGGATCAGAGATATGGCAATGACTTATGATAGACTTCCAAGGCTGCAGTTAATGCTGAGAGCCAAATACTTTTGATACACTCATAAAAGTGCTGATCCCTTTGTGAGCCTCTTACGGAGAACTTGAGTTAGTTATCACAATGAGGAATAAACCTGTTGAAAAGCCTATGCTAGAATTCATGATGCTGCCAAGTCTTTTAAGAAAATAAGTATTTGGTTTGTTGCTGCTACAATGAAACTATCATGAAGCACTCAAAATCAGAGTGTTAAACGTTAACAAATTGTGGTTTTAATTGAGACAAATTTAGTCTGAGCCAGGGGCCGATCAAGAGAAGGAACGTGAAGGTTATAGCCCTTTTTGAGCTTGGGTAAACCCATCTGTCAATACCTGTTTGCGTTCAGCAGTTACTGTTCTGACAACGTTTGCATGTTGTAGCAACATGTAAATGAAAAATTGGGCAAACTCTTACTGAGCCTGCATACTTCTGTCCTATGTTCTGTAACTTTTCCTGATTCAATTATTTTGAGTGTTTTACATCTCTTAAAATATTTTTTGTTTATGATAGATAAAGCTGAGGAAAAATATTGTTTTAAGGGCAAGGATGGCTATGAGTAGTTGATTAAAAGTGCAAAGAAGATGCTAATTCACTTTTCAGAGTTAGGATCAATAAATCACAACTGAAAGGGCTGAATAGAGGAAATAAGCCCAGTTGAAACTGACTCAGCAATCTTAACATTTGTCTAAATCATTGAGCAGTTTGTGTTTTTTTTTTTTTTTTTTTTTAAAAAAAAAAAGGTCTAGGACAGCTTCAAATAGTTCTTTGGGTTGGGGAGGATTCCACTTTTGAACTGGAAATACTTTCAGGCTTTTTAAAATTCCTACAACTTCTGTCCAGCAAAATTTTAACTATCCTACAGTACATCAATAAGAAAAACATATGTTCATTTTGTCTCTACACTTATAAATTCAAAAATCTATGTCCATTAAAATAAAATGTTATTGAATGAAGATTGCTTTTAAGTGATTATTTTGAGAAACCCTGTGATTGGATCTATAAATTTCAGCATCTGATGAAGAGAAAGAAGGCTTGTTTTGTTTAAAAAATGAAATAATTCTTTGAGCTTAGCTTCACTCTACAGAGTGGAAGTCTTCAGACTGTTTCAAGTGATGTGCTTGAGTCTCCACACATTTTGATAGTCCTGTTTATCTTCCTTTCGCACATACAGAGTTTTTCTTTTCTTTTTTTTTTTTTTAATTGAGGATGTAATCTCAAGTTCACAGAGCTGAAAGACTTTATTTGGATATAGATTCAAGCCCTTTAAAAACTACTAAAAGAATGTATAAAAACTACTGAAGAATGTATAGAACCCTCCTTAAAATGTCTGATTACTAAAACAAGGGTCTTGGTATGTATGCATAAGAAATATTTAATAGAAATGTGCTATTTCTCCGAGTCAGAAAAAGGACTGCACAGAGAAACTTTGCCAGATGACACCAGGTCGTTAAGTGCTTTGTGAGAAAAATCTTGGCCTATCCTGCCTACTGACGAAACTTGCTTTCCACTTCAGTGAGGCCAACATTTCACTCATGGATGATGCCCTGGAGATTATCAAGAACATTAAGAAAAATTTCCCATCACCTCTGATTAATTACCCAGAGTAACAAGTTATCCCTTGGGCAACTTGTGTCTCAGCTATAGATAAACATTGCTATGTGAATTTTAATCAAGTGCAAACTCTGCAACGAGCAGGATAACTGCACTGTTACAACAGTCACTGCTTAGGCGAGAAAGCAGTTCAACAAAATCTGTTGAGACTCTGATTCACAATGAAATTAAGTGTTATCCAAAATGATGGTACCAGTTTGGGCTGTGCTGAATAACATGCAACTTAATGTTTGAAGAATTTGGGACAAGTAGTCTGACTGAAGAATTATAAAGGATGGGCGTAAAATTGATCACTTTCCATTATGAGGTGTATGTGTATGCACACCTACCTAGCACTGGCATAGCCTGGGTTCTCCCAGATGCTAATATCCAGTCCTCGGCTACAGTGATCCCATATGCTCAGGAAAAATGAATATATTCTTCTGCAGTTAATGTGAAAATAGTTCTTGGAGAATTTAAACTCCCTACATTGTAAAGAACTCAGACTTCTACCACCCTGTGTTCATGTCGGCAGCCTGGTAGCATAAAGCTAGAATGATGGTTGTTACTCTCTAATGAAGAAGAAGTAAGTTATGAACCTTAATGATTGAAGTGTGTGTGGGAATTGGGGGCATAAAGGGAAAGAAACACCCTAAAAAGGCTTTAGTAGAAATTAATCTCATGTATCAGAACTATTTGCAGAGGAACTTGGGAAACTATGTTGGTCAGAGTGTGGAATGTATCCACAAAAATCTTAAATTCTTTCTATAGTACAAATACTATTTTTTTTTTTTTTTGGCCTGAACATTCCTATTTATGTCTTCCTACCAGTTAATGCATTTACAGTATTTTCTACCCTCAGTGAGGACACGCAGACAATTATCCAATTACTGTTCTTCATTATGTTACAACACACAAGTAACTTGTGAATATCACGGTCACATCAGATGAGTACATTGGCAGAGCTGGGATACGTGTACTCCTTTGGCTGGGTAATAAAGCCATCACCTTTCCCATCACAATTTGCTGCATTTGTATTCTCACATCAGAAATAACTACATAAAAAGAATAGTTCTTGTTTAACTCTGCAAATACTAATTTAGGATATATTTTTGTTTTGCTCATTCCCATTTTTCAGTGCTTTCCTCCCTCTCATTCAGTCCTAAGATGAAGATCTGCTTCTCTCAAAACTGATGTAGAGGCTATCTATGCCTTGAACTTTTTCTTTTTCTTTGTGCTATTTGTACAGAATGTGAGAAAGCTGGAATACTGGAGATGTAAATATCTCAAATCTGTATCATTCAAAAACTTGGTGCATGGACATGTCTGCACTTCTCCAAGAAGTGTTCTGTGATACAGAAGTGTAATTCATCGCACTTTATAGATGGGTAAACGCAAAAGTGCAAAAGTTAAGTAACCATGAAGGCAATGTAGGGTATACAGAGATGGTCCCTAATCTCTGATCAAAAAAAAAAAAAAAAGAAAAAGGAGTGTGTGGTGGGATTAAATTAAGAAATAAATAAGACAACCACAAAACCTACCAAGATCAGTACTTGAATTTATCCAGACAAAAGTCTGATTCAGAAGTGGCTCCTGAGTCTTTTCAGCTTGCTTGCTATGCATGCAGTCCTGTCTGCCCACCTGTTGTTAATTATAACATCCTATAAATCTAATGTTAGAAGACTGGCAATGAGACACAGTGCCTGTACTGGCTTAGCGGATCATCTAGGAAAATAAGTTTTCAGGAGTTTATTCCTGGATGAGCTTCTGTGAGCCTGGCGTTGTCATGTTCTGATATTTCTATTAAGAAGAACACAAGTGGATGTCTCTAAACAAATAATATCCTGGCTTTATATAGCTGTTGTTGTTGCAAGCACCACATCAACAAACACTGATGGGAAGCTGTCAGTTAATAAACAAAAATAGCTTGCTTGGTAATAAATATTTTTCTTACAAACCACATTATTCTCTCTTCTGTGGATCATATGACTCTGCAGCTCCTGGATTTTTTGACTTTACAGGAGTAACAAAGAAACGTGGGAAATAATTCAGCATGGTGAAATCATTCAGCTTAGCAAAGCCTCTGCTGTGGTTAGAACAATTTAAAAATGCCTGATTTCAGGCTTATGTGACCAAATTCTTCTGTTTTTCAGGTAGCCACAACTCAGCTGAACTGCACAGTGCCACCTTCCTGAGATGAGGAAAGCAGTTAGCTTTGGCTGAATCACTTGGATTTCATGTCTCTCCAATGCAGAAGGGTGAGCAATATTTCCATCTCACAGGATGGGAATTAATTTCTTGTCTGTATGGGCTTTGAATACTTTCAAAAAAAAAAAAAGGGAAAAAAGAGAATGCCATGAATCATCGCTATTGACTCTGTTCTACATTGGCTGCCATTCAGATAACTTCCACTTATATTGATAAATAGGTTTTTGTAGTCAGCAGTGAAAAGAAACCCAATAGCAAAAAGGGGAGGGGAAAAGTAACTTGAAGAATGGAAACACATACAAAGATGTATATGATTATATTATGTATAATGTGATACGTATGTCAGTGATAGCAGTTTAAATCTAGATTGGTTCTAAATACAAATCCTGTAAAGACATATGCACACAAATATTACAAGAAATGTCGTATTGCATTTAAACAGATGTATTCACAAATGTGGAATAACTTGCTGACAAAGTCAAACTGACAGACCTCTCTATTGGCATTACTGATGACTAAGTTGGTCCAAAATGTTTATCACCAGACTTTACTAAAAACACATATGCGCTTGCATGTGTTTGTGTATGAAATCACGTTTCACCCAAAGACTATAAGCAATAAGCACTTCTGTAAAAACAAAACAAAAATACCACCACCAACAACAAAACAAAAGAAAAACTCTGCTCAGTAGAAAGCCCTTCAAGTTTTCTAATGTATGCTAAGAAGGTCATAAAAAGTTGATAAAAGTCAGGATTCATATTGTTTTACTGGGATCCTTTTACAAGTTGCTACGGATATGGAGATTAGTATATTCTTCCATTTATTTGTTCCCCAATTATTCAATATTCTACAGCAAATATTTTAGTATCCCTGTGTGAGAGCTTCTTTTTCATAATGAAGCTCAATGTGGGTATGAATGTATTTATAAAGCTTCAGTGGCTATTGGCTCTGCTTGCTACTAAAATATGGTTTTGATTACTCTTAAACCTCCTGATTCAACCTACGTTGGGAAAGTTAAGCTATATTGTTTTTTACTGTTCACATGACACTGTGTATTCTAGCTCAGTTGAGATCCAAGGTAAAGTACAGTGGACCTGTACTAAAAGAAAAGCTATTGCAGCTGAATTGAAGCTGAAAAGTAGCTTAAAGAATATTAATAACAGAAAGGTAGTGAAAACAGTTCTGGTTTTCGGCAAACAACTTGTCAGTGGTTCAAAATGACAGTTTAGGAGACAGATAGGACAAAAAATTGCTGAAAGTATACAGGAAATATGAATCCTTGGAAGAAAAAATCGCAATGATGTTTGTTTAACAGGCAGGCTTTAAATGACCTCAAAAAAATTGTGTGCCACGTTGGTTACTGCCCTGTAATAGAATTTCATTACTTTGAAAGCAAATGTGGAGCCTGAGGCAACTTTGTTAGGTATACTAATAAGAATCTCTCTATTCTCTAGCTGATCTTCCTATGCACCTACATCTGTGTCTTTCCCTTTTCCTCTTGTTTGCTTTGATGATAATACAATATGCTGTTTACTTACGGATCACATCTAAAGCAGTTAATTCTTTACACTGAGTGCATTCTCTGATTCAGTTCATCACAATTCAGCTGCATTGGTGTGCATTTCTATTTTTTTAAATTGAAGGGAAAAAAGAAACCACAAAATAAAAACTGTTAAAGAACAGTGATGTTAATATATCGTGAAAGATGTGCATTTCTACTAGGGCAACAAAGAGAACACTGACAATATCTTGAATACTGATGTACCAGGAAAGGAGGGGAAATGCTGAAGCTGTATGAGAATAGAAAACTCTCTGAGAATGTTTGCTATGTACTTCAGTTCCAAAGCTAACTGCATCCTTATGAGCCAGTGGCCAGCCTCAGAGCTACCTCCTGTTTTTGGCATATGGTTTGGCAACTGATGGCTTCTGGTCTGTGCCCTAAGCCACACGTTCCTATTGCTGACTGACCACATTGGCCACACACTGTGCACAGTTCTGTTCTTCAGAGGAAAACATGCCATTGTTTGCCAGGGACTGGTAAGATCTCATGAATTCTGTCTTTCATGTTGAGCAGAAAATATTTATAAAATAACCTAAAATAGGGACATCCATCCTGCTTTGCAAAGCCTTATCTCAGTGTGCAAGTGCCTGAGAAGCAGATGATCCCTCTCCCCGAAGAGCACCCTGACACTTGCTGGCTTTGGACATGGAGTTCTCTCCCCATATGGTTTGGACTGGTATTTTCATGTAGTTTCTACCTCCTGTCTGTTAGAACTTTTGACAAATTTATTCTTTCAAAGCCAATAATTTTTCCCAGGAAATAAAACCTTGAAGGACTTGTTAATTGCATTGTTCCAGTACTAGATTTCTTCATTAAGTATTTTGTCCTCAGTGAGTTCAGCTCTTAATGTCAATGCACCAAAGAATGTAGCCTCTGACATATCTATCATGGTTGTACAGAAGTATTTTTACAGGCCGTGAATCTGGGATGTTGTGTCTATCATGCTGATACTCTATTTATGAAGGGAAAGGAGTGCACACTTGCAATTGCTTTCTAAACATAAGTCCGTGTGCTCATAATGCATCCTTGCTAAATTTATATTAATGGATGGAGACTGAATCTGCCTTCCTGTTAGCAAAATGTCAGGTCTTTTTGAGTCAACTGATGCAATACTTCACAGCAGAATCTTCTTCACAGAAATATTTTTATTGGCAGGGAACAAGGGAGTGAGGGTTATCTTTCATAATGCATAAAAACAATTAAATCATTAGGAAGAAAATTACCTCAGCTTAATAGGAGAATACTTTGCTGTAGCAGTTCTGATATCCAGACTCAACATCCAGTAATGAAGAGATCATAATAGTGCGGGTACTAAATGTGCAGGGTTCTGACAATCTGCATTTTCTTCCTTTCCTGGAAAGAGAAGGAAAGAAAGCATGTATGTTAATAATCTTCAAAATATTCAGAACATTAGAGAAATATTTTTTTACTTTAGTTGAATAAATAAACTACAGAAGGTTTATTTTATCTTTCTATTTTAATATATTTTTTCGAAGTAATCAAAAGTTAAACAGGAGGCAGCACAGGAAAACTGTGTTTAAAACTGTTGCTCAGGTTACAAAGACACCATGAAGGGCTCACATTTTGTTTTATTTTTGTGAGTAATATTGTCTGCATTCCCACATGATGCCTGTGTATAAGCTCTAATTCATAGTAAGCTGTAAGTTTTTTTTTTTGTTTCCCTTCTTTGGACTACTTTGCATATTGTAAAGAATTACTATTTTTATTCCTTATAATGCTAATTGTTCTCTCATCAGCAGTCAGTTTCAAGCTAAGAAACTACTGAAAGACTTGAAGTGAAAGCTGGAAAAACTAGGTTGAAAACTGGTATCTCTTGTTGCAGAGTGTAAACTCTCTGGTTTATCACAAAAAAAAAAAAAGAAAAGAAAGACGACAACAAATTGCATCAACTAAAACCTAAGTAGGATTTTTTTTCTCCCCCCTCATAAACGAATAACAGTCGACAGTTCTGGAATGTGCACTCCTCTCCCATGAAAACATTTTTCCGCTATGCCTTTTCCAAAAATCAAAAGTTCAAAGCTAGACTACTACACGTTATAAAAGAACAAATTTACCATGACACTTAAACAAAGACATGAGTCAGTGTATTCAGCTTTCTTGAGGGAGGAAGAAGTTATGTTTCTTGTTAAGGCAAGGTTTGAAGTAAAGAAATTATTTTTGTAGTTTTATATATCTCCTTATAATTATTTATGTCCAAAGATATTCTGTTTTACTGTACAATCAAAGTTAAAATTATTTCCCTTTCTGTCACTGATGTATTAAGGTTTACATAATTTCTCCTCAGAAAGCAAATTATTAACATCTTTGTTATATAAATGGTCATATGCAATCACAAACGTCAATGTGCTTAGTATTATTTAGAGTATCTGTGGCAAGCTAGGAGCCTCAGCTGCTTTTCTTTCCTATAAAGAGTGCTGCTTTTTGCCCCTGAGAATGGCACAAGCAAGATGAGTGGCATGGAAGTAGAAGACAGGCAAAATGAGGTGGCTTTGGACTGCTGTGGGTAAAGCAACTTTTATCTGGAATAAGAAGCATTTACTTTTGTGTTGTCTTAAATATAGGCGTATAACTAATACATCAAGCAGCTGAATTGCTCTATGTCGTTTTTAAAGCTGTCTAGGAAACTTGGAACATCACTTCCATTTATTTGGAGCAAGTGGCTGACTCATTTGTCTGCCTTGAAAAACCTCTACTTCTGTTCCTGAGTGAAGCAAGACAGATATTCTGGAAGTCACTCTTGTTGTACAACAACAGAAAAGTGCAGAAAGTCGCAGAGCTCCTGCTAGTATTGGGCCCAGTCAACCCCAAATGTATGTTTGACTTGGAGCATGTTAAGGGATGCAAACTTCTGCTTGATACTGTAGTAGCTTTAATGTGTTCAGTTCTTTCAGGCAGATTGAATCTGCATGCTTGTGGTTCAGGGCTGAGATAGACACAGATTTGTTGTTGCTAGACCAAAGGTCTGGTCTAGATTTACACCTTTGACACTGAATATTAAGTTTGGTAGGATGGAACCAAAATCAGAAAAATTCCTGAGTTTGGAGAAGGCTGACATCTAAACCATATCCGACAGCTTTGGCCCACTATCAGGATTAATTTTTCCTTCATTAATATGCAAAGACTTAAATTATTCCCTAAGAAGAGCAGTGCTCAGTATCTGTATAATAGATATGCTCAAATGCAAGGACACTTAAAATTTTTCTTCATTTTTTCTTTTTGAACCATATAGCTTAGCTACATGTATGAGGCTATAATTTCTGTAGCTGCAGCTCTCTTCCTGTTGCTTTTGTAAGATGATGTGAAAGGACCTTACCTGGCAGTTACCCATAGTCATAAGTTGTCTAAGCCTTTTTAAAACCCCGTTATATTTCACAGGGGAGCACAGAGGGTGTAAGGTAATTAACATAAATGTTTTTTTAAACTTTAACTTTTCAAATGGAAAAGTCAGGATTTTTAGAAGTCAGGTTGTTTTAGAGGTTTTTAACTGATTGTGCCACTGCATTTTAGAGGTTTCAAACTGTTTGTGCCATTGCATTTAATGTTGATTATGAACAAGGTTATAGAAAATAAAGGGACATAGTCTGTGAGAAATACACTTCTAGTAAGGGAAAGATCCACAAGCAGTTCTGTTAGGTACAGTTACATACCAGTGACAATGGCTAGAAGCACCAGGCACAGGGAGCCTGCATTAGGTGAGCTGCTGTGTAGCTGAACCATATTTTGATAACCACCGGAATAAAGACAAAACAAAAACAAATACTGCTGGATAGACAAACTCATTTAATTTTTCAGGTCTTTTTATTAAATTATAAAAGTTGTCAAGAAGATTGTACTAGGATATACATGTCATTAATGGCTGGGAGTAATTAGGTGGCAATGCCTTTACAGAAAGAGGGCAACTGATTAACAGGCTAGTGATAACTACACTTGCTGGCCAGGTGTAGATGAGGGCAAGAAGGGGATTGCTTCCCCTTCTCTCTGGAGCCAGGCATAGTCCTTCCCTGTATGCTTCTTGGTTTGGGTGGATGGGCAGTACAGGCAGTAATACCCCATGCTCTGAAACAGGCAGAACCACACAGCCCAGCCAAATTTGAGTACCAGCCACTGTAATAACTATCACACCGGGCAGATGCATATTCCCCTGGCCCATGCTTCCTGTATTATACAAGCGAGCAGGAAAGACTCTCACCAGAGGTTAGGAAAACTGTGAGATTTATAACATTGGTGGTAGGTGGAACAAGGGAGACTGTCAGACCAAGGGAGCCAAATATTTTAAGCATCTGCTACAGGCCTGTGCCAGATGCAGGATACCAGACAAGATGTGCCATTTGTCTGTTCTTGAATGGAATTTCCTATGTCCCTAATACCAAGCAAACTCTGTTTATTTATAATATAACTACTTCTGATTTTGGAGAGATGATATACACCACTTTTCATCTTTTCACGCTCACAACAATATTTAAATGCCTAAAAAGTGATTTATTTAGCTCTATAAATTCTGTGAGGCTTGGCAGTTGTTTTGCTTTGTCATGGATGAATCTGTAAAGGTTGGCAAACTCCATTCAGGGAAGCTGAACTGCGTGGTTCACAGAAGTATGACTTTCTATAATGTTTGCCTGGGTTAAGGATGAGATCCAAGTTCTTCCAAGACCTGCATTGGCAGGCACTGGTTTCAGGTGACCATTTTCATGGGCACAAAAAGAAGAATGTCTTAAGATGCTGACTGGCCTCTCCTGAAAGTGAAGTTATATTCCACTTCTGTGTCATAAGTAATAAGGGATCCCAATTATTTCCCAAAGAAATCAGCAAGAATTTCAAAGCAAAACTTTTTTATTGGAATATGTAAATTCAAAACTACAGTTCTTTGGAAACATGTATTAATTGTAAGTTCCATTTCCCTAAGTGAGGTTCTAGACAAAAGTAGAGGGGAACATAACCTTCCCAGAGTAACAATGTCAGAATGAGATCAATTACCTGGGAGCTGAGTACCTCAGTTTTGAGTCTGTGTGCTGCTTTATACTGATACAGAAGACATAAGCCCCAAGCTATGCTTAAGACCAGGTAGAAAACCAGTGCTAGGGTGCCTGGAACTGGAAGGAAAATCCAACAGCTCCACAGTACGAGTTTTTGGCTCCAGTACAGGCCAATTGTGTAGCAGAGTCAATCTTTCTTGGCCTTCTTTAATGTGAGCACCCTTCCAGCAGCGTGGGCATGGCTGCTTGCTCTGCTTCAAAGACACGCCATGCTGGGTGTGTCATACCTGCCAGCCTTTACCCTGGGCCCTTTCTGGTACCTCAGCTCCAGTGCCATGTCCCACAGTCCTTTTACAAGCGGACTGTGTCCTGATCACCTTGCTGCTCTAAGACTTTTTGTGAACTGTTGCTAGCTCTTCAATTCAGAGGAAACACCTAAGAGACTTCTGACAGACTTCTTTGACTTAGGCCCTCAATAGGCCCAAGTTCTCCCCCCCCTCCAGAAATCTTCAAAAATGCCTTGGCTTCTTCCAAGGACAGGATAAGAGAATTAAAAACAAAACCCTTAAAAAACAATAATAAAAAAAATCAACTGTGAGATAGAAAAAGTGACAACTCCTTGTTTCAAATTTGCTGACAAATACTGAGAGCCCACAGAATTATTAACTGCAATCCAAGTTCTTCCACTGACGTTCCCTAGAACTTTCTAGGTCACCAGCTACATTAAAACATGTGCAATTAACTGCCTGCATAAACATGCTGCATGAGCTCATCCCCTTCTGTCTTAATTTTTTTGTTTGTAAATTCGAGGCTGTAGAATTTGCCTGTGGTATTGTTCTGAAGTCCAGCTTCTGACTGCAGTTGTTATTACAATAAGAACTGCAACAGATGTCAGAACTGAGTGAAAGCCCTGCCATTTAGCAATTAAAGTACAGACCACAGCCATCACTTTCTTTTCTTTTTTACAGGTGTGAGACCCCATATAACAGGAAACAAATGCTCACACTTGCTTCTAGATGTAGTCTTCTATTAGGAGAATATCCATATTTTTTTCCCACTCAAAGGTTTTTCCAGTACACTTAGCTGTTCCTAGCTGTAGCTAGAAAAGATGCAGCTGCGTTTTTTGGCTTACATAGCTTGAGCTCAACCCTGAGCAACAGCTTAGTCAGAGCTGTTTTACAAAACTATTTCTCTGTAAACGTTTTCATTCAGCAGTCCGCATGTGATATCTTTGCTTCCTTAAAACATATGAGTGACTGTGTGCCTTATCTTCCTATTACCAGCCTGGTTAGATACTGATCTGGGAGGTGGTTCAAAACCTGAGGCCAGCGATGAGACGGCGCTTAAGGAAAGCTCAAT